AGAGATTCATCACTGCGTAATTTTTGTAAGAAAGTATCTTCCTAAAAAAATCTTTATCAAAATTTCACAAACCATGCGAGAATATTCACTTAGATGTTTGGAAGTACATATTTTTGTGCAAACAATTTTTTTCGAAAAATGGAGACATTACAAAGAACAAGCGAAGAACTGGGATTAGTGATGCCCATTTAGAAAATGTTCCAATCTTGGCGTCGTAAAGCTATCAAGCGTGATGCATCAACATGACAGTGTCACATAAAATGTCATTGTAATATTTTTTAATAAGACGACTGAGTTGAGTTCACGAATTGTCTCAGTCTTCGCGCGTTGTTCCCTTTTTAACTTTTAAAAAATATATGCGAAAATTAACTTTGCTTTCATTAATTTAATGTGAAATTTGGTGAATTTAGGAAGTGAAATGCTATAGGGCAAGAGTACACGACGTTTTTTAAGGAGATAGAACCCTGGATTCTTTCATTTCCGACCTAATATATGGTGAAAAAGGGTTTTTGAGCCGTGCTACTAATAAAAAACTTGCTGAAGAACACCAAGCTCATCCATCTCATTAACAAACACTATAAACTATGATTTGTCTTCTCATTTGGTCTGTAATATATTCGTTTCTGACTTTACATTTTTTTGTAGTGCTGGAGGGCGATGAAGTTGTATAAACTACTTTAGGGGGGGCGATAGTCAAAAAAGTTTGGGAACCACTGACAAGTGCAGTTTCAAGTATTTTGTGGCGTCTACAGCTGCCGCAAAACCATGGCGGGATTTCCAAACCACGGCCACTAAGACCAAACCCACGACGACTGACTTTTTAGCTGCCACAAACCAATAGCGAGCTGCCGTGGTTACGGCAGCAAATCGAATACCACCAATTTTACTGCCGTAACCACGGCAGGTCGGCTGTAATAGCAGGGCTGCCCCTAATCTGCTGATGGTGATAAATATTTGGTGAGTTGGAATGTTTTTCTTATGGATACAGTTTGGATGGATTTGGGGTTAGGGTTAGGGTTTAAGTAGATATAATTTCGCATGATAAACTAAAATATGGTTCATGAATTTGTAAATATACCGGTAATAGCGCCATAAAACCATGGCAGGAGACGGCGTGGTACGTTCGTGGCAGGAGCTGCCATGAAGTGGTAAGAACTGCGCCTCACCACTGATCTAGAAGAGGGGGGGTAATGTGACGACCCTTGTTTTATTTTTTAATTGTTGTCATATGATCAGAGCCATTATATAATGGCTCTGATGTGATAATTTTTCTATATTTTATTTTGTATTTTTAACACTGAAGACCCTGAGGGCGCTGTGACACTGTCGATTTGTATTTTGGTATCCTGTTGGCCTATGCTGTGGTTTGCAGCCGTGCAGTTGTGATTGTTTAGGATAGGATAGGATTTACATATTTATCCCGGGGGAGAGGAAAGCCGATAAGACGGCTTATCCATATGGCGAACCACGGATTTTGAGTGTTTAAGGGTATTTTATATCTGCAAAAGTGCCTCTAAGTCTCAAGTAGCTTATCAAAGATGTTTACTCTTGGTTTTATGACTATTAGATTGGGATTGTTAGACGTGTTTTGATGCTAGACAGTGGGATGATATTATTGTTTTAGTACCGGTACACTTCAATTTATACCGGTACCGGTACTATTTTGTTCTATTTATTAATTACAATCTTAATACAACCAAATACTCCAATGAAAACAATAAAAATTAAAGACGGACCCTGAAATCAAAGACAACTTTCAATAGCAGCCAAAACAACCGGTGTGGCTCAACGGGCTAAGCGTTAGGAATACGCTCGCCCCCGCACCTCTAATTACTTTGCGTGGGTTCGCAGGTTCGAATCCCATGCAGGGATTGTTATGTGCGAGAGGATTGCTGGACTCCTCGTCGTCTTTGGGTGGTTCACGTAACCGCTGGTCAGTTACGGCTTCCTCCACCACCAAGTCCATGCTTCCGAAAACAAACAATACAGTAAAACTAATCCCATACCCGACTTGGAATGGTAACCGGACGAGAGGCCGTGGTTCGCCATATGGATAAGCCGTCTTATCGGCTTTCTTCTCCCCCGGGATAAATATGTAAATCCTATCCTATAATCCGGTACACTAAACCAGCTACTTACAATTTGTTAAAATACGCTGAGAATAACCCATGACGGGCACTTTAAAAAAACCACAAACAATTCCACAGGTCAGCAGGTGCACAAGATTCGAAAAGCACTGTAGTTGTAGATAGCCAATTTCATGAATAAACTAAAAATACAACCCAAAACAATTGTACTTGCACTGAATATTGGGAGGAAACTTGACGTCAGATCATATTGGAAGATATTCTGGACTTGGATAATTATTACATAGACTGCCGGTTCGCTACAGTTTTTATTCACGTGAGATGTTTGTGTGCCCTTTTTATCCAGAAGCATAGGCTAGTCAATAGTGGAGTGGGAGTGGTGACTCCTCTGCGGCCCATGGGCCGGGGCCACGGCCCATCGAATTGGGCCTCGGCCCATCAGGCTATGGGCCGCGGCCCATCAAGTTGTGTAAAGAAACTATTCACTTGGCTAACACAGACAGTCCCCGAACTCATAATAGAACTATAATGTAAAAAATCTGATTTTTTTTGCCCTAACCCTAACCTGGTACACATACTACAGGAGTATATTTTTTTGGTTCGAATATTGACAATTTGGTAAAAATTGAAAATTTTGTTAAGATAATTGAATTTTTCCTGATGGGGCCGCGGCCCATCAAGCTATGGGCCACGGCCCATGTGGCCCAATTAGATGGGCCGTGGCCCCGGCCCATGGGCCGTAGAGGAGTCACCACTCCTGTAGCAATAGTGACTGCCCGACATTGAAGTATATTACAAAAATATACTTTATTATTTTCTGTTCCACTCATTCAAATATTTTGCCGGTCTGCGAATACCGTACATTTTATTTAATTTTACCGGTCCGCCAGGGCCAGGGAAGAAAGGTTGGGAACCACTGGCATAGACTACCCTATCATGAAGCAAAACCACATTTCGTAAGTAATTAAGTTACTCTAATTGATTAAAAAGCAGCACTACATTTTGGTATGTCGGCATTAACTGAATGATAAACGTGGCACTAAACCATAGGAAGACATGCTTAGTCCTGTCAGCTGGTCAGCCTGTGCTCGATACTGCTGTACTGTGATGTATGTTTATTCGTCTCGTAATAGTGATAAATAAATAAACTGACAATCCCGGTTCCTTTCATTACCGGAACGGACCCTAAATTACCGGAACGGGGTGGAAAACTGACCGGAAGGACCTTTAGATGCCTTGCAAATGCCATTTCATATACCTCCATGCAATTTTTATATTAAATCGGCAAACTTGGGGGGGGGGGCAGTGAAACAAACAGAGTAATCATAATAAACTTTCTATTACTTAATTGTTAGTATTATATTGAATATAGGCTTAGCATTTATTGCAATACAGAGAGAAAGACTGATTGCAAATATCTGATAACTGGATAATGGCAGAATCACAACAGAAAGAAACATCCAAAAAAGTATTTCGCATAGACGAGGTAAAGCAACACAACAGTGTCAAATCATCTTGGTTGGTTATTCATAACAAGGTTTACGATGTCACTAAATTTTTGGAAGATCATCCCGGAGGTGAAGAAGTTTTGTTAGAACAAGCAGGAAAAAATGCAACTGAAGCTTTTGAAGATGTTGGACATTCTTCTGATGCAAGATCATTATCGGAAGAATATTTGATTGGAGAACTTCATCCTGATGACAGATTTGCTGAGGAAACTCCACAATTTGTCACAACGCATGAGAGCAAAGATGAACCTACTGCCTGGAGTAATTGGGTCATTCCTGCTCTTGTTGCATTTGCAGTTGCGATTGTTTATCGATATTATATTTCTGGTTCAAATTAACAATACATTCTATTTTGAGTAGATAATTTTACCAATTCATGAATGGTTATAAAATTTCACTAATTATCTTCTATTAGCTCTTAGAATGATCATATTTTGACATTAAAGAAGTTTGTCTGCAGCGATTGAGCATTTCTGAGCATAGGAATTAGTCTTTAATTTTACTACATCATGTCTAATTTGTTCCAGTAATTATTATATTTACCTTCAAAACATGTAGACTATATGGTTCAACTCTCAATATGCATTTGTAATTTTGCTAAGAAATTGTTATTAATGGCCTAATACTTCAAAAAAAATTACCAGCAAGTGTGCAATGTAAACTGCCCATGTTGTGCACAAATTAATCATCGTTCATATTTGACTTTAACTGTTGTATGGATTTGACTGGTTTTCCTTGGTATTCTGATTGCTGTTGCTTGGTCTTTTGAAATTTCTTTTGTTATTATGCATTTACTAATGACTATTGACTTGTTTGTGTAAGATTTATAACCCAGGACTATTTTGGCAGGATTTCAAACAGTTTTTATGTAACGCTTTCACATACTTTTAACTCTGTGCCTGTTGCCCAACCAAAGACATCCTCAGATGAGCTTGATAGGAAATAAAACTCAGTGAGTGGTTGGAAACTATAATTTGACTTTTCAATTTGCAATAGTATTATGCAAGTATTTCTATGTTGTTGTGCTTTGTTTCTTCCTAATTCCACATAAGCATGTTTTCATGTGGTGACAAATTTGGTATGAAACTTACCAAGTGTGCATAAATTGTAGATACAGTGTGTTATATTGAGATAAATAATTCGCTCAGCTAATCAATCTGGAGTTTTCTATTTTGATAGATAGCTGAAGCCTGTCATACACCTAGATCATTTTTTTGAACAATTCATCTTTTTTAAACTGTATGTTGTAAACCTGGCCTATTAATTCTATGTGTTACGAAATTCTAGCATTCATTGATTACGGTAGTTATATGTTGTCAAATTGTAATATTGTTGCTTTGTTGAATCAAAAATGTTCAATATGCCACGATAATGTTTAATCAAAATGCATTCTAATGTTATAGTATAATGTATATAGTATATTTCTATATATAGTTATGGCTCCAACGCCACTTGTATCGTGTGAACATCTTGTCACATTTCTGAATTCTTTTGGACACAAACCATTTCAGATAACTCAAAAATGGTTGGTGAATTGCAGCACTCATGAAGCAAGACAGGTAAGCATTTTTTAGCCTATTGTTGTTTTATGATACTTGAAAAAAATTGGATTTCAACATCTAGAAGTATTTTTCGAATTGAGACATCAGACATGCAGTTTTCATTGTTTGCAACATGTATCGCAACTTTCATTTTCATTGAAAATATGTGAAAAATGTCTTGAGTAAATGCAGTGAGATTTGTATCAGGAAATATAACTAATCCGATTGCTTTGCCCAATTATTTGAAAGATATATGTAGGTTACTATTTATCTTGAAACAATTGATAATTAGAATTTTTAAAGCATCTTTTTGTCAGGATTATTAAGTTGTCAAAATTGCCACTTTTTTTTATACCCATTACTAGGTTCAACTGAAATTATATCTCTTTTTTTCAATAAATGCAGGTTCGTGCAAAGTCTTGTGTATGCCAAGTATGCAAGACATATAAAGGTCGACTACATGCCTGCCTTCATTGCATATATTTTGGATGTTATGAAAAGTAAGTGAAATGATTATCCTACAGTTTCTAATTGACTTTTAATAAAATGAAGCTTACTATATTTGTTGTCGAGATGCCGTCTTAATGAATTGGAACACTTTTTCAGAAGAATATAAAGTATATTGGTATTATTGTATGTTTCTCAATGTGTTATGAGCATTTTCATAACTATTGCCCCCAAAAAAAACGATGTAGCCATCAGTGGTAGCCTACCGAATATGATGGATATATGTTTCAATGTTTGATTTAATAATAATATAGTCTGAGAAGAAATGTTTTTTCACTAAGGCAGGCAATTTATTTCTATGACTATATTTGACTAACCTACATTACCTTGTAAAGAGAAAATCTTATCTAAATAAGTTTACCGGCACCTCGTGAGCAGTTTGCTATTGTGTGATATTTTTATTTCTTTTTAAGGTAATTCATCTGTGTCAAATGAGAAAATTACTTTCAATTGATGGCCAATGAAAAATATTTGATTAATAAGTGACATGATTTGATGTCATGGGTTCAATGTCTGTGTGTGTGTTTATTCATAGTCGGTAGTTGAATGAAATTATTTGATAAACTTTATAATCAAAAATTTTACAATACAAATGTGTTTGATTTGATTTTGAAATTATGTAGTATTTATGAGTGTTCTGCCCAATTAAAGCGCTATCAATTTTGATCAAAATTCATTTAAAATCATATAGTCTGTTCACTAAAACTATTTTTTACCCAGACAACATATGCATGCTCATGCAAAGAAAAACGATCACTTTCTTGCTATGGATTTAACATTTGGTCAGACATATTGTTTCCGTTGTGCTGATTACGTTTATGACAAAGAGTTGGACAAAATTGCGAAGGTTGGTCAATATTCATTTGAATATAATATGTCTAAGATTAAGCAAAGCAAAATGTCATTTTCTTTTATCAAACAGGCAGAGTGGAAGAATATGTGCAAATCTATGGGTTGGAGTGAGAGTCATGTGAGCATGTGGCCATTCTGGGAACCCTCGGATGTGGATTTGGAATATCTTCGTCTAAATCCAAAGCGACGAAAAATTTCACCAGAGAGCTATATTGGATTGCGTGGTCTTGTTAACCTTGGAAATACTTGTTTCATGAACTGCATATTACAGGTAATATTATTGCAATATTAATGTAATCTTTCGACTTTCGATGCATTTTATGCAAAGGCTGGTTGGTAACTTAGAATGTACATTTCATCATGACTTGTGATCATTCATACACAGATATGATTTATAAGTTTTGTTACCTTTGAGGTGCTTAATATCATGAAAAAGAAAATTGAGCACATAATTAGAGGTTGTGTTCTGACAAAAAGTGTTCTTTCTGAATAGCTATATCTCCATCTGTCGCTTTTGAAATCATCTGTCTCTTAAAATATCATAACACTTCTGTAAAAGCATTACACTGTAAGTTTAAACAATGTTATTGCTATCTAAAAAAGATCTCTATCACGAATTCAGATATTCGAATTCCTGTTATTTTCTATGAAAGTTTTTATTTGTGCAGTAAAGTGGCTATTTATGTCAAAGCTGAATTAGGTCTTTATCATGCTTTCAATGTAAAATGAAATGAAACTTTAAAATATTCAAAATTGAAATTTTTTCTCAGATAGAATTCTAGAAAACCAACTATTTGGACATGGGCATCCCTATCTTAATACAGTATACCTTATTAAATTTTATTCCTAGGCATTTGTCCACACACCGATGTTGAGAGATTACTTTTTAGCTGAAAAACATATATGTGATAAAGATCGTTGTTTGGTTTGTGAAATGATGAGACTTTTCCAGGTAGGTTTTAGGGATTTTATTTGTTCCTCCAATGTTTTATCATTTTGCGCTCATATTATTCTTGCCATTTGGAGTTGAAAGGTGTTGATTTTGTATGGTGTACTCATATCTTGACATGGTTTATATGAAGAGGAACAATATATTGACAAGCTCGTCCCCAGTGAACTGGTATTCTAGCAACATTGTCTTTGATTCACTTTCACATATATTTTTGCATTATTCCTGTTAATTTATTGCTGCCTTTTTTATTAGCATATATTATTATTCATATTATTGGTATCGTTTTACATGTTATTGTAATTTGTGATGCTTGTGAGTGTGACCAATTGTGACAACGAGCTCTTACAAATTCACGGATCTGCAATAATCCAATTTACATATAAACCATGAATGGAAATACATTGTATTGAATGTATTAAAGCTAGCTGCTGTGAGAGGCATGATTCTGTTGACTCAAAAAGGGGCATATATTGGTTGCATCATCTCATCGAAATTTCAGAGTTGTACGGTTTGTGGCTTATTGAAAACATCGTGAACACTGCTGATATTTTTTCAGGAATTTTATGCTGCTAAGCAAACTGCTTATATACCGTATCGTTTACTTCATCTTGTGTGGACAAATGCTCGACATTTGGCAGGGTATGAACAACAAGATGCTCATGAGTTCCTTATTGCTGCACTGGATCTTCTTCATCAACATTTGAGTGCAAGGTTGAATCATTTGTATTCTTGTGTTGCTAATATAGAAGCTTTTTCACAAATATCTCATACAAATTTCTATCTAAATATTCTGACATTCTGTTGTGTATTTGTATCAACTGCAAGTGTGTTATTTCTTATTGCATGGTATATTTTGATCCTTATTAAATGATACACATAAATGCTCTGAAGATCTTTATGAATCTAATTCTGAAATACCTGCAATTTATTAGTCATGTCTTTTGTGTACTACTAAGTTTTGTTGTGTATCTTTTTTATGTAAATTTGATCTACTATGTTACATTTTGATTAAGTTGCAATATATAGTAATCCTATGCAGGTTATGGTCATTGCGATTTACTGTTCCAAGTCGAAGCCTGTAACAAAATAACCCCCATCAGGATAGTGTAACACACTAATAATGCTTCTCTTTGTATTCATGTTTGCTAGCAATGAATCAAAGAACAGCAACAGCCCAATGACCGGGAAAAAGTCCGGATCTCGAAATCAACCATGTCGTTGTATAATTGATCAAATATTTACTGGTGGTTGGCAATCTGATGTTGAATGTCAAGTATGTCAGGGCGTTTCTACGACTATTGACCCATTCTGGGACATCTCGCTTGACTTACCAGGTGAGGTTTAGTTAAAATGTTCCTGTGAATTCAAGGTAACATTGAAACTCGTCAATTCGTTACCTAAGTGAAAGTTTTCAATAATCATTCAATAGATGCTTTCACACATTCAAATGTACCACTGCATCAGCTAATGCTTGTTTTTAAAAAACACTCTAACTGTTCTTCATAATCATTTTTTGTGATTGTAAATAATTAAAGTATCATATTTTCAGGTTCTACCTCAAGCCCATGGCATTGTACTTCTCCTCTACATCAGCCACTTACCACTACAGAAAACACAAATAATAGTTCAGTAATTCCTCATGTGTCATCAGATAACAGACCGATGTCACTGAAGGATTGCCTGAATAGGTACTGATATAAAATTATTAAGAAAAGATTTGTGCTGGTGTGATATGATATTCAAACTCTAATTGTGCATATTTTAGGTTTATGTACTACATTTGCAACTGGATGAAATTAATATAGAAATACTCAAATCACACCATTTGAGGCATAGTAACATTTTATTGCAACATTGGCTTGATATGTAATTCAGCATTATGATGTGAAGTAAAATTATTTTAATAAACTTATTGAATGTGTTGCTCTCATTAAAATACCGAACAATTCTGTTGTACATATCTTGTTCAGTATAGCATGCCTCAACTGTACCGACCTTTATTAGCGTTTGTTATGAAGAGCAAGGATGAAAATTTTATATTTGGTAAAATAATTAAAGAAAGCAAGTCTAGTGCAATCATCTGATTTATCTGTTAATCTTTAACTCGGTGCAATGTCAACAATCAACTCACTAGTTCCCTTGTACACGAAGGTACTCTTGAGTGAATCTCAAATTGGATGATCATCTAGCAATCGGTCTCATCCAATTGCAGTGTTTAAACATATTTCAAATGTAGAATGTATTTTGCGTAATTTAGATTGAACATAATCAACATTTTGTGAATTGATTTCGAATACAGTCAGGCTATGGTATGCCATATGATTAAGCCATCTTTTTTGTTTTCACTCCAGGGGTACACATGAAAAACCAATCAATTTTTTTCCTTTAACTTCACCTTCAAGTAGAAGCTTGTGACCTCGTATTGCATAAAAGTTGTCAAACACTGTAGTTTCACTTGAATCTTCATCAAATTTATTTTCAGATTTACAAGACCAGAACACCTTGGAAGTAGTGCAAAAATAAAGTGCAATCGCTGTCATAGCTATCAAGAATCGACTAAACAATTAACTTTGAATAAACTACCTGTTGTTTGCTGTTTTCATCTGAAGCGTTTTGAACATTCTAACATGGTATGTAGATTTTCTGACATAATTAATTATGAACAATGAATTTTTTAACTAATTGATGAATTTTCTTAAAACTTACAAGTAATGACAAAAAAAAATCAAATGTTACATCTCATGGATTTCAACAAAAAATGAAAAAATCAACAAATGCATCCCAAGCAGAGAACTCCTAATGATTCTGCATTAAAATTCTGGGATATGGATATTTCTCCAAGCATCGACTTGCTCAACATTGGCCAATCAACAAGATGCGAAAAGTGATGTAACTATACGTTTTAGCAGATGCTCAGACATTTTTGTCACAAATTTTCTTGTTCAAAGTCCTGGGAAACATTCAATGGGAATGTGCATGAACAAAATACTTTTTAGTCCAGTATTTACCATAGTGTTTCAGTTATAGTTTTGTTTGTTTCCAGACCAGACGAAAAATTCCGACCTACATTTCTTTCCCTATGGATCTTGATTTAAGTCCTTTCATGGCATCAAGAAGAAGTGCAAATGGAAAAGACCAAAATGTTGTGAAGGACGATCTTCATATTTCAGAGAATAATAAGTATGGAATTATATTATTAAAGTATTAAATATATTTTGAATTATGGTATGTTTTTCCCGGTTCCTAACTCATTTACATTTGTTCATGATTTAAAGTTGTTTCTTTCAATCTTTTATGCAGATATGCTCCATGTATGATGAATCAATGAGTGTCATACTATAGGGATTCATACAAACTGGTAGTTTTAGCTCAGTCTGTCATTAGCTTAAAAATGTTCAGCAACTGGTTGTTATTGCAAGAGGTGGCTCACTAAACAGCTGGTCAGTTGCGGCTTCCTCTTCACAGTATTTATTTACCGCAACTAATATTGAGTAAATAGATTTGTAACTATGTAGATAGATTGCACTTATTATATTCAGATAAATCTAATTATAGGGGGTACATTGCATATTTTTAGATCTTACCATTGCCTGGATATACATTTTTATTTTATTTTTCAGGTATTCTCTATTCGCAGTAATCAATCATCTTGGGTCATTGCAAGGGGGACATTACTCAGTCTTTGTCAGGCAACATGAAGATCAATGGTTTCGTTGTAATGATTCTGTGATTATGAAAGCTAGTGTTCAAGATGTTTTACAGTCCGAAGCATATTTACTTTTTTATCACAAACAGTATTTAGAATATGAGTAGGAAATTGGTATACGCGACTTGTTCTGCCCATGGGGATATTTTTTTTGCAATGCTAACTCCGTTGGATCTAATATTATCTGTTTGTACATTTATTAACGATGCATTCATGGCTGAAGTTTTAATGTGTCTTGAAAGGTCACGGGGAAGTAATGTAAATATTACAATCAGGTCCCATCGCCTGTGCAATTCGAAAGCAATTATTTGACAACAGTTTTCATCAATTAGGAGCATAGCAATTTGCATAGGTTGAGTTTTCTCATACCACCTAAAAAGTATTCTCATGACTTTGAAATGATAAATCCTGTTTGATAAAAGTAATAGAGGCAGCTGCATTCAGTTTTAGGTATTTAGAATTGGTTAGTCATTAGTTGCGAAGAAAAGCCAACATCAGGAATTAAACGAGATAGCGATTAGAGACCGCCAACTTATCGATCTGGCGTCGTGTATCCTTCGCTCTGACTCAATAGCGACACCGCATGTTCCATCACTAATTAATTGATAACTCGCTAATTATACGACATAATTCATCCAAAATCAATAGGTTTCTGGTCCGAGATATAATGAATGCACGTGCATTCATCGAGATCGATAATTACCAAACAAACAAATACCTACCAACATACTTCACGTTCGGTAAGCAGGCTCTTACCATTGGATGTGATGCGTCTAATAACGCAAAAGCTGATAGTTTAAACCAATGTGGCTGTCCGGTGGACTTCACTTCTCGCACTCTTGTCTAATTGGTAATTGCCTCTGTCATGAAAGTAGTGCGAAAATCGAGTTAGATATTACATGGAATAAAGTTTCGCTTAAGTATGGATCAGCGAGCCCTGTCTTTCATTTTCCAAGAGAATCATTATTGTGGAAACTGGAAGTTGATACAATTTTCTGTTGTTCATCTAACTTCGTATCTTTGGTATACAGCAGCGTTTCCCAAACTGTGTTCCTCGGAACACTAGTGTTCCGCGAGCGTCTTCCGAGTGTTCCGTGGAAAATAAATCAAAAATACGTCTAAATGGGTCGCCATGGCGATCTAGGGATCGTGAAGTTGTCGCCCAACTGACCGTTCAATATCGTGTCACCGTTGGCCTAGAGCGGACTAACCAAGGTAGGGTAGGGGCATATTCGTTAACCGTCGGCCTAGCTTTTTGACTGTTAAGTTCATTATAATTCCTTTTGGTTTTGCTATAGGCAAACAGGTAGGTCCTAAGAATAAAGGCAAATGGTCAACTCTTCTTCCGTCATCTCTGTCTGATTTTACTTTGAAATGCTGAAAAATTTACTCATGTTCGCTAAACTCGATTCAGCAGATCAATAAACTGCAGCTCGCGAAGTTGCAGAAAGTACGTCTATCTCCATTAGACGTAACATTATAGAGGCAAACACTACGTAATGGAAAGTAAACGATATAGAAAGGTAAAATGAATTTGTTGATTCATATACACAGCATTCAAATTGAAAAACATTTATAATAAATGAAATATGTAAAATATTCAATCATATTTTAGTTATGTTCAACATAATTCTGTTAGTTTTTGCGGCGCATTTGGCAACTCGCCACGACGAACCCATTGGGAACCGCTACATTACACCGTTTTTCTTTATCAATTTTACCCTTTCATTTTTTAGTGTTCCGCGAGGCGAGATAAAAAGTGTAAGTGTTCCGTGGCCGAAAAAGTTTGGGAAACGCTGGTATACAGGATTGAATCTTATCTTGGATAGAATCCTTTTTATCAAATCGTTCTCTCCGGTACGTGTCAGATTTGCTTATTCTAACAGTTTTGAATAGAAAAATTGTATTGTACAGCAAGGCGAGATGAGTTCATTTCAATTAATATTAAAATATAAACCTTACCTGTCCTAACTAAACCTACGAGAGCGATCCTATTAAACGTGGAGGACTTTTATATTGTATGCGCATGCCCGCGAGGATTTTTTAGGATCGAAGCACTACTCCAACAACTAAAATCTCTCGTCTGGGTAGGGTATTGTCAAAATGCGGCATCAAAAAATACAACGAATTCAATCTGGTAATCGTACCTTACGTTTCATGGTCACCCACATTTATTTTTAAATATTCAGCTTCACAACCTAGAATCTATGGCATACTAGGTGAAAGCGTAGCAGATAGTATGGCCAGTAGTCCTAGCATTGGCGACCTGAATAGAGGTCACAATTTTGATATTCAGTTTAAAATTATTGCTCATACATTTTTGTGTGTGACAATATTATCAATCAGTCGATCGATTCCCAGACGAATACTGATTGGCCACTCCTGAATTGTAGTCCATTACCATTCAAGCGTTGCGAAGCAGCCGTGAGCTAATGGACCTTTCCCCGAGCATCAACATCCTTGTTTACTTCGTGACATTGGCCAATCAGCAAGATGCAAAAAGTGAAGAAACAATGCTCCTTTTACGCATCCGCTCAGACACTTTTCTCACTCAGACAGATTCTCAGGCGTTCTATTAAAGAAGCAAATCAAGTATATTATACAAACAAATTTAAAGGAAGCAAATCTAATTCAAAAGAAACTTGGAAGACAATAAAGTCCTTAATTTCGCCCAAAAGGAATTTATCTTTCCCAGAAAAAAATTCTAAATGGAAATGGTTCCATTGTTAAAAATCCATTAGAAATAACCAATTGTTTCAACAACTATTTTGTGTCTATTGAAAATTCTCTTTCGTCTAAGCTCTTAAATTCTGATGTTTTCAAACTCTATGTGCAAAGGCAGGTCAAAAGTACCGTTTATCTGGAACCAGTGAGTGAAAATGAACTATTAGTTGAACTAACCAAAATTAATATAAACAAGGCTATTGGCCCTAATAATATTCCACCAAAATTTATTAAGTTTACAGCTGATATTATATCTCCCTACTTAGCAAGTCTGTTTTCTTTGTGTATAAAAATGGGATCTTTTCATCAATTTTTAAAATTGCGAGTAACACCACTCCACAAAGCTGGAGATCGTAAAGTTTTGTCAAATTATTAATTAAACTAATTTTTGACAAGCACAATGTTATAAGTGAATATCAATTTAGTCTCCGTGAAGGCTGTGTAGTACCACCCATGCCGTGCTTGATATCATGACATCTGCTATGGATGACTTAGAAAACAATAAAATTAATTGTAATGGTTTTCTTGACTTATCGAAAGCTTTCGATACAGTAAAAGAGTAAATCATTCTATATTGCTAATCAAACTGTCATGTATGGTAATCGTGGTGTTGCTGATAAATTACTGACAAGCTACTTGTGTCAGCGAAGTCAATATGTCAAATTAGATTTCACCATATCTCCTAATATCTTGCGGAGTTCCACAGAGCTCAATTTTGGGGCCTTCACCCTTTTTTTTAATCTATGTTAATGATCTAAATAATGCTACCATTAGTGACACCAGAATGTTTGCTGATGACACATGTATTGCTAAAAGCCACCACTGTCCTCATATTCTTCAAATTCTCATAAATGATGAAATAAGCAAAGTGGATGCCTGGATGAGAGCAAATAAATTAGCTGTAAATTATTCTAAATCGACCTTTACTCATAAAATATAGGTAAAGCTTTCCATGTATCTTTTGGTGATAAAATGTATATATTTACGGTCAGTGTCATGCATGAAATATCTTGAGATACTTATTGACAACAAATTTAAATGACATGTTCATACAGAATATCTATATATAGCAAGTTATCAAGAGTGACTGGGATTATGTTCAAACTCAGACACTATTTGACATTGCATGCTTTGAAAATCATTTACTATTTATTATTCCATTCTTATATTCGGTATGCCGTGTATGCTATCGTAACTTGGGGTTGCTGTGAAGAAAACAGTCTTAAAAAAATACAGCTAACCCAAAATAAAGCAATTCGAGCCATCTGTGGGGTGCCACGCTGGGCAAATTTGAGTAGTTATCACAAAATCCTTGGTATTGGTATTCTTAAAATGAAAGATCTATATTTTTATGAAATGGGAAGGCTCATGTATCAGGCGGTAAATAGCACTGCCCCTCGCGTAATACGGCATTATTTTGTTCCAACAAAAAATGCACATAAATATGGTACTCGTTCATCTCGAAAGGGAGGATTATTTTCACCACGATTTTCATCCTCGCGTGCCCAAAATTCCATAAAGTACCAGGGTGTGAGAATTTGGAACGATATTAACGAAAACCTAGAAGAAATTTCCAGTTTTAATGTTTTTTTCAAAAAGTATTTCTAGTCTTTTCTGAATAAGTACTGAATCATAACTTTTCAATTTGTACGTTTTTGTTTTGTGTGATACAAAATTAAACGTTTTTCCTTGCCGCTCCAATTTCAAATTCGACTCAATATGTGTCACATTACTCTTGTTGCTTGATTGTTAGTTACAACAAGTTAAAATGTTTCATAATTGGTATTATATAAAATGTAATCTGTCAACCTTTTTTAATTAATGCCAGGAGAGTTGTTTCGATTTAGTGACCGTATAGTTTCGTACCTAACGTACTTCTAGTGGGCGTGGGTCCTTCCAACCTCCTATCAATTCCGTTGTTAGTCGATTACTCTTCTTTTACTTATTGAATGTTGCTGTTTGTGTTTGATTTGTTGGCTAATGACTAGGGTTGGGACCCCGGGAAATCCCGATCCCGGAATCCCGGGATTTGGACTGTTTTTTTCAATCCCGATCCCGCAATTATTTCCTAAAAATCCCGGGATTTTAAGGCTTTGTTATCCACATATAGATATTTGATACTTATTTTGAAAAAACCATCCACGCTTACAGTTCGAGTGGAAGTGGAAGTTTTGCGAATTTTTTTTCTCAAATTGTACCAAGGATTTATCATTTGACTAGTAGAATTGTCATTATTGCTGACTTATTTAATCATAATTTGAATTCAAAATAGCATTCAGGATTCACGCAATGACTTGGGGTTTTTATTCACTATTTAATACGAAAATAAAACAGCCATACTTTTAAAAAGTAAAATCAAGAAGGTCGACTATCGGTCTTCATCAATATCCGCATCCCGGCGTCAGAAATGATAACATATATATTAAGCTTAAAATTATGACAGTTAATTTACAAACGGTGGAAAGAAAGATCAAAGCCGACCCAAAAGGTAAAAATCGGAATAAAATCCCGAATTCAACCCGATATTAGACAAATCGTTAAATTATTCGATATGATGAAAATAGACTATTTGACCACTCTTGCGATCTGTCATCACGCGAAAGTAATCTGGCGAAACGCGTGGTACTCTAAACACTGATGCATTGAAACTTGATAAATCTTTCATAAATTTAGCAAATTGCACTACTTCACGAAAGCGTGG